TGGGGGTGGGGCTGACGCGGGCCCGCGTATGAGTCCAATGAACTTCGCGGCCAACCCTCAGCTGTCGATGCGGTTGTGTATAGAGTCGGGCCGAAAGTGTGTCTATTCTAACGAGTGTTGCGACCGTTTTTGCAATCCAGTCAACAATATGTGCACAAATTTGGCCCCCTATAGAAATTGATGTCTTATTTGTTTGCATTTTGTTGCAATAATTGTATTATATATTAAAATTAATGTTATTTATTATTTATTTATATTTGTTTATTAGAATACGGTTTACAAAATGTATTTTATTATTTTACATGTACTTTAATTTAATGTTTTGGTAAAGTGTGTTAACCTTTTAATACAGATTATCGTACAATGAATTAATTGTATAAATGTTTGTAAATTGGATTAGTATTATGGGATAATATCATGGAATAGTTTTGTATTAAATTGTGTCTACATTTTCCAACAATTATTTGGAAATATATTTTTATTTACATAAAGTAAATACAATTAAACAAAAAAAATGTATTTAAGAAAAATATCTGTCAAAACCTAAGAGTAAAACAAGCGTGTATTAAATGCCAATTTTGTAATGTTAAAAATACTGAATTATTTTATGAAAAATAATTGTTTTGTCAATTCTATATTTAAAAACTTTTGAGATAAAGGTAATGTAACAACAGCATATATTAATTATTTATTTATACTGTATGGAAATAATAATAATAATAACTTTTATATAAAAATAGATATAAAACAAGATAGAAATTATGTGACTATGAAGTGATAATATTATGCAATATCAATAACCTATTGGTAATTGAAAAATGTATTTTATTTTGTATAATAAAAGTCGAAAATGCATTCAAATGAGTTATTAGACTATTTATGCGATCAATGCTTATAAATACATCACAAAATCCATAGATATATATATTATTGTATAAGAATTGCATTGAATTGGTGTCACGTTTTAAAATATGTCCAATAATTAAAGCCATGGAAACCTCATATAAATGCAAAATATTATAATAAATTTTGTCAATTAGAGAATATGTGCCAATAATGCAAAGTTACTAATATTATAAATAATACATAGTTTTATTGATACAAAAGCCATGCATCGGGTGTCGGGACCGCAAATACTGGTCACTCTGGCCTCCGAAGAGAGACACGACTCTAACTTCAAACTCAAACTAATCAAAGTGTTTGATTGGATTTGTAAGTCTATAATATAAATAAATTAAATTATAAATAATGGCTGAATTAATTGAATGTTTAAATATTTGTTAGTTATATTGGCGACAATAGGCCTGATCTGGATGTCAGCCCTGAGCCGGACGTGTCGTCCAAAGGCAGTGTTGATAGGATTGGTGTCAACAGTGGTTGTGTTGACTCTGTTTGTCATCATTTATAAGATCGGAAACTCGAGATTCAG